ACTAGAGAAAAATCCAGTAAATGTAAAATACCTGATAAATCCTGTAAAATGTCTGATGAACCCTGAAGCAGAGAGTATGCATAAGAAAGTTCATGCCACGGGGCTGGAAAGATGGCACAGCAAATAGGGACACTTACTGCTCCTGCTGAAGACCTAGGTTTGGTTCTCAGAACCCATATAGTATCTTACAATCACCTGTAACTCAAATTCCAGGGGATCCAATGCCCTCTTCTCATTACCATAGGCTCCAGCATGAACATGGTGCACGTGCATGCAAAGTTCATACCAAAGCCAAGTCTTGCAAATGTAACATCCATTGTGTACAACTTATTCAGCAACAGAAAGTTAAAAAGAAGATGCTCTATAGGTGTACCATGTGCGGCAGTGACTTCTGCTATACTTCATACCTAGTTGCATCATGGGGTCTATTGTCAAGAAAAATCCTGTGAGTTAGACACAGTAGCGCATACCTTTAATCTCAACAGTCAGGAGCAAATGCAAGCAGATCTCTGAGAGTTTGAGGCCTGCCCAAGGTATGTGATAACTTACCTTTAAAAATTAAATAAGTCTGATGAGTATGGTGGATGTGGGTAAGTCTATGCAGACCAGCAAAGAATTCTTTTCAGGAGAAAATAAACTTTATATGTGTATTGAGCATGGGAAAGATTTCATATTGACTCCCCACATTATTTAGCACCCAAGTGTGCATGTAATGTAATGAACTTTCAGTGAAACTCCATGCCTTATCCAGCACCACAATGTGGACAGAAAAATAGAAATCATCTGAATATAACAATCACAAAGAAAGTTTTTGTCATAATTCAGATCTTACTGTGCAACAAGAAGCTTCCACTAGAGAAAGTCTTTGTGATGCACAGGAAGAGAACTTCAGTCACAGAGCACACCTTATTCATACCAAAATAATCCATACCAAAAGAAACCTTATGAATGAAATGAACTTAGTGTGGATGGTTTGAATGAAAATTGCCTCCATAGGTCCATAGGGAGTGGTACTATTAGGAGATGTGGTCTTGTTGGAGTTGGTGTGGCCTTGTTAGAGGAAGTATATCATTGGGGGTGGCCTTTGAGGTTTCAGAAGCTCAAGATGAGCCCTGTAATATAATCTCTTCCTGCTGCCTTCCAAATCCAAATGTAAAACTTTCAGCTACTTCTTTAGCACCATATCTGCCTGCATGTCACCATGCTTCCCACCACGACAGTAATGGACTAAACTTCTGTACCTGTAAACAAGCCCCAATTAAATGCTTTCCTTTATAAGAGTTGCCATGGTTGTGGCATATATTCACAGCAATAGAAATCCTAACTAAAACAATAGCATGACATTTAATAAAATTCAGGCCTCATTCAGCATGTGAGAATTCTCAACAAAAGAAGTCACATATGTACTGATGGTCATAAAGTCTTCAGTCACAGTTCAGTGTCAGAGAATTCATACCAAAGACAACCCCTCTGAATGTATTGGGAAGTTTTTGTTGCTGTGGGATGTTCTGTATGGCAAATGTGTTGCTCTGATTGGTTAGTAAATAAAACACTGATTGGCCAGTAGTCAGGCAGGAGGAAGTATAGGTGGGACAAGGAGAATAAAGCTGGGAAGTGGAAGGCTGAGTCAGAGACACTGCCAGCCGCCACAATGACAAACAGCATGTGAAGATGCCGGTAAGCCACGAGCCACGTGGCAAGGTATAGTTTTATAGAAATGGATTAATTTAAGATATAAGAACAGTTAGCAAGAAGCCTGGTATGGCCATACAGTTTGTAAGCAATATAAGTCTCTGTATTTACTTGGTTGGGTCTGAGTGGCTGTGGGACTGGCAGTTGAGAGAGATTTGTCCTGACTGTGGGCCAGGCAGGAAAACTCTAGCTACATTTTGTAGTGTTAAATTATTTGGCTTTTGCAAATCCACACCAGAATGTATTAAATGTGATTCTTTCTTTTGATTTTTTCATACCTGTGGTCGTTTAAATGTAATTGGCCTCCATAAGCTCATAGGTAGTGGCACTATTAAGAAGTATGGCCTTGTCAGACTAGGTATGGCCTTGATGGAGGAAGTGTGTCACTGTGGAAGTAGGCTTTGAGGTCTCACATGTTCAAGCCATGCCCAGTGTCTCTGACTACTTCCTGTTGACTGTAAGATCAATATGTAGCTCCTTCTCCAGCACCATGTCTGTCTGCATGCTGCCACATCCCTCCATTATAATGAACTAAACCTGTGAAACTCTAAGCCACTCAAAGATTTTCCTTTACAGGAGTTGCCATGGTCATGGTGCTTCTTCACAGCAGTAGAAACCCTAAGACAAAACCTTAGTCACAACTGAGTAATGTGGACTAGTAAAATAACACTACTGAATACGGGAAAGCCATCAACCAAAGAAACTACCTTGTTGGTTCAGTGTCTGATCATACCATGTAGAAAGTCTATGAAGTCATTGAAGGTTTACACACAAGAGACTATTCAGCTGTATCAAACATTCCTTCAATATCAATATATACTCAAGAGTATATTTGAGTATGATAAATTTGAGTATGATAAATGTGACAAACCTTTAAGGGGAGTTTATCTGTCATAGTCAGTATGTTAGATGAGAATGTGTGTTAAAGCAAATTGTAAAATCTTAATATCTTGCTGCAAGCCACAGGAAAATGTAATGGAATTCGGCTACCATCACAAAAGCTACTACTTGGAAAAGTCAAGGATGTCTCCAAAGGTCAAGTCATGACTTAAAAAGTCCTGGTGATATTTTAGCTTTTGTATATATATATATATATATACTGGTTCCTACAGTGATTTTCTTGTAGTGCTATGTGTGCTTCGAAGAACTCCTAACAGTATATTTATCTAACATACCTATCAAGCATCCAAGGCCAAACGAAACAACATCTGTCTAGTAGGTCAGGTGGATAGCTTTATTTCTTGTGCAATTTAGGGTGAGGCCCTCCTTCCTTACAGCCTTACTAATAGACTCCTAATTTCTTACCTAAATTTCTATGAATGTAGATTGAGCACATAAATTTCCTTCTTGACTAACCGATCAGTAGCACTCATTTGGGTTGTAAAATAAAGCCTGATGACCACTGTCTGAGGAAAATTCTTACCTGCCTTTATGATCCCGTAAGAATTCAAGCCTGGTGACCTTGCTCTGCCAGAAGATCATTATGGCTTGGGTTTATAACTTGAACACCTCAGGGATGGGGAACTGAGTCATAAGAAGAATGAAGAGAGGATATTGAGGATTTTGGCTGGAGAGGATTTTTGACTAGAGAACTGGAGGTCAGGATAAAAGATGAGGAAGAGCCAGATAAGAAAGTACTAGATGAGTAAGAATGAGATGAGGACCTAGATGAGGCAGAACTAATATGATAGAATTAAGATAGAACTTAGAGGGGACTGCAGATAAAGGTAGAGACAAATCAGGCAAGAAAGGAGCTAGGCACGAGAACAGGACTGAAGCTGTGTAGATAAAATTTTATCCCAGAGGAATAAAGTAGACAAAGAACTTTGTGTACTTCGATTCATTTCCCCAAAATAGATCTCACTATTCATAGTTTCTTTTCTGAGTCCCTGTGAAATACATTATTAAGGCTTGTTCTTCAATAAGATACAAAGATTATCTACACCAGATGAGACTGATAAACACAAATGATGAAATTTGCCATTGTACTTCAGACTTTATCCAACATCAAAGTATTGGAGGGAAAATTTTTGTATGCATAAATGTTCATATTTAGTCCCAGATTTTCAGTGTAGATTATTGTAATCAGAAAGAGGGGGGGGAGGAAGGAAGGAAGGAAGGAGAAAGAAAGGAAGAGTGGAAAGGAGGAAGGAATGAAAGAAGGAAGAAGTCCACATGTGTCCTAGTAGGCTTCCTCTTACTTTTTTAGGTTGGATTGTAAGGCTTCCCATGCTTTCATGTCCTCTTCCTTTGGGTTAGTCCTCCCTTTTACCCCCTTGCTTTTCACCATACTCTCACAATATTCCCTGTTTAAGCCTGTCCATGCACATACCCCATACTCTACCTCATTGTTTTTATTTTGCCTATAATCTCATTTCCTTTTTTTTTTTTTTTTTTTTTTTGGTTTTTCGAGACAGGGTTTCTCTGTGTAGCTTTGCGCCTTTCCTGGAACTCACTTGGTAGTCCAGGCTGGCCTCGAACTCACAGAGATCCGCCTGGCTCTGCCTCCCGAGTGCTGGGATTAAAGGTGTGCGCCACCACCGCCCGGCTCATTTCCTTTTAATATCAAATAATGACATATGTGGCAAACATGAGAATGTGCTTCACAGACTTCAAATACAGGGTCTGTAATTTTCAGAAGCTTAGCTCCTCTGCAATGAAATCTGAAATTCATTCTGAATTTTTTCCCCAAGGCCATGCTTCCCACTGGCTTCTCTGAGATAAGCTATGACTGAGTATTGCCTCTGGGCCTTCATAAGGATGCTAATCTCATTCATGAGACTCTACTTTCATGACCAGATAATATTATCTACCTAAAAGAATACATTATTATTCCAATACAAAAGGATATAAATTTTAAAATGTTAATGTTATAAAGATGTAAGCATTTGATCCATAAAAATAATTTTATTGCATGCAAAAGTAATAGTCATGGTTTTAATGTTTCCTCTTGCTAATAAAATACAATAACAAAAGCAAGTTACGGGAAAGGGGTTTATTTTGGTTTACACTTCCAGAGAAATAGTATGTTAGGTAAGACATGACAGCAGGGAGAGAAATCACAATGACAAGAGCAGGAATTTGGCTTGTCACATTGTATTTTCACTCAGGAAACAAGAGATTGGACAGGAACTGAAGCCAAGATATAAATCTCAAAGGCTTGTTCCCAGTGACCTACTTCCTCCAGTGAGGCCCAACCTTTTGAAAGGTCCACAGTCTTCATTAATTGTAACAACTGAGGACAGAGTGTCCATATATGAGTATATGGGAGATATCTGACATTCAAACCACAGCATCCCTAAATATTCTTGTGCTTTCTGTTCAGGTTAAATGTAAAGAACTACCAGATTGTTCTGGCAATGGTTTTTGCCATTGAGGAGATTAACAGTAACCCCCATCTTTTACCCAATGTGTCTCTGGGATATGATATCTATAATGTCCTGTTCAATGAATGGTGGACATTGGATAGATGCATCACATGGCTGTCAGGACCAAAGAAGTATATACCTAATTACACCTGTAGGAGAGAAATGAAGTCTGTTGCAGTACTCACAGGAGTATCATGGATAATATCTGCCCATATAGGGACACTGCTGGAACTCTACAAATATCCACAGGTGAGAGTGGAGAGAGATAAAAATACTTATAAGTTCAGTGCCATTCCAAGCCTGCAAAAGATGGTGAAAGAAAATTTTTCTTATGCATGTGAGAAAGTTTATAATCCCAAAGTGTAAGTATTCAGTGACTTGGTGACATATCCACATTTCCTTGGTCTAAGACAGAGAAAAGGGATAGGCTGGAGCAGACCCTGATTACCTGGAATTATGAGTGAACAGGAACTTTCTAGAAATCTCTCAGAAAGTAGAATACCAGTATTTTAATGGTATTATGGTCTAGAGAGGTGGCTTTGGGAGTAGAGTATTTGATTCACAAGCATGAGGACCTTAGTTTGGCTCTAGCACTCACATAAAATCTGACCATGGCAGTACACATCCTTAACATCAGTTCTGGTAAAGCAGAGAATCCCTCAGGCTAGTCAGGCTAGTCAGGCTAGCCAAAACAGTGAGCTGCAGGTTCACTTAGAGACTTATCCTCAAAAGAAAAAGAGAAAATAAAGTGAAGAAAGACAAAGTAAGAATTCCAATATCAATCTTTGACCCCATGTGCACACATATACAGATGTGATGATCAAATTATCTTCATCACTCTAGCTGATTCTATAAGCCTTTCATGATTAGGCATGTGATTTATGTTTCCTCATCTCAATTCTGCTTCTACCTTCTTTCCCTTTTAGCTGACCATTGGGTCTTTTGATCCTAACCTAAATAATCATGACCAGTTTCCTGATCTCTATCAAATGGCTTCCAAGGATATGTCTCTGCTCTATGGTATTGTTTCCTTGTTGAAATATTTCCACTGGAATTGGGTGGGATTGATTGTGTCTGAAGAACAAAAAGGTGTTCAGATAATCTCAGACTTGAAGGCAGAAATGGACAGAAACAGAATATGTGTAGATTTTGTGGAAATGATCCCAGTCAGCAAACTATCCTTTTTAGCAAACAGACAACTGAATCCTACACGGGTTCTGAAATCATCAGCAAATGTGATCATCACTTATGGTGACAGTGACTTTCTGAGAGGCTTCCTGTTTTATCTAAGACAAACTTTAGTTATAAGGAAAGTTTGGATCATGAACTCAGAATGGGATGTTATCCTCCATTCAAAGCATTTCATTTTGCAGTCATTTCATGGAAGCCTCATTTTCTCACATCACCACAAAGAAATCTCTGGTTTCAGAAATTTTATCCAAACAGTTCATCCTTCCAAATACCCAGAAGATTTTTACCTTACAAAGTTGTGGTTCTACTTTTTTAACTGTTCATTTGCTGATGATGACTGCAATACACTGGAGAACTGTCTGCCTAACGCTTCCTTGCATCAATCACCTGGAAATCGTTTTGATACGGTCATGACTGAGTATGCTTATAATACATACAATGCTGTGTATGCTGTGGCCCACAGCCTTCATGAGATGCTTCTTCATCAAGTAGAAGTAAAACCAACAAGAAAAGCAGAAGGAATGATGTTCTCAGCCTGGCAGGTAATGTGTCTCCCATCAGATTGCTCATAACATCAGAAATGTGAGTTTTCTAAATTTATTCTTTTGGAGGCCACACTATCTTAGGATCTCTAAGAACACAAAATAAACTAATTGTAACACTGGCAAAGGGTAAGTCAAGACCTATACAAAAATGGTTAAAAGAACAAAGTATCTGTGGATAGAAGAAAATATGTTCTAAATCCATATCAGTGTTTTGTGTTGCCAGATAAATTATTTCTATATGAAAAATGCATAACATATGTAGTCTTGAGTCCCATGGGTTGCAATGGAGGCTGTGGAGATAGTCTGGGAGGCCAGAGCGGATTGTGGAGGGTAGAGTGCCTTGGTGCATGGAAATCATACAACATGGAGAGAGGAGTCTGCAGAGGAAAGCTGCAGGAAGGAGCCAACTGAGTGTATTATACTTAGTCATGTAGAGTCCCAGCCATGAAGAAGAGGCTTCAGATAAAAAGGAAGGGACTGAGCTGGCTAAAGATGGGATACTTCACAGGACTACCACAACATGCAGCAAGGTCTGTGGAGGCAGACTGGGAGATGGAGATAAATGAGGGGAGGGTGCCTGGCATATATAATTCCACAATATGCAATAAAGACTACAGAAGAGGGGGGAGGTGGAGCTGTCCCAGGGTAAGGTGCTCAGACACAGACAGCTAACCTGATTTCAACAGAAGCAATAAGTTAAGAAAAGGGAATAAAAAGAATACAAATAAGAAAAGAAGACGTCAAAATACCCTCCCTTGTAGATGATAATATTCTATACCTAAGAAACCCTAAAGACTGCATCAAAAACTCTTAGACCTCATAAACACTTTCAGCAAATTGTCCAGACACAAAATTAACACAAAATCATCAATCTTCCTATACACCAATGTTTAACATATCAACAAAAATGAAGAAATAATCCCATTCACAATAGCCGCAAAGAAATTAAATATCTGAGAATAAACATGACCAAGAAAATGAAACATCTATACCATGAAAACTTTAAGTCACTGAAGAAAGTAATTGAGGAAGACACCAGAAAATGGAAGGACCTCTCATATTAATAGATTGTATAAATTGATATTGTATAATGGCCATCCCACACAGAGCAATTAACACATTAAATGTAAAATCAATCAAAATTATAACACTGTAGTCAGAGCTTTTTCTCTGTCCTGCCATGTCCTGTCCTGTGGCCACCTATAAATAATCATTCAGAGGCTTAATATTAATTATAATTGTTTGCCTGATTGCTCAGGCTTATTACTAGCTAGTCTTATATCTTAAATTAACCCATTTCTATTAATATATGTATTGCCATGTGCCCAGTGGCTTACCGATACTTTCATATCTTGCTTCTTGGGTTGCTCACTGGCTTATTCTCAACTCCACCCTCTTCTCACTGCATTTCTGCTTGGATTTCCCCCTGATTATATCTTGCCTTGCCATAAACCAAAGCATCTTCTTTATTGATCAATGGTAATAAAGCATATTCATAGTGTAGAAAAAGACATACCACAGCAGAACACCATCATGAAATCTCAACATGCATAATGACAACACCAGTTGATCTGTCAAACTGGACAGTGGAAAATCACAAAGTCCCACCCTTCAGGCAATCAATCAGGCTGAGAGAGGGAGAATAAGTTTTCCCCAGAGGTGTGCACCCTAATAGGTTATTCAATCCCAAGTGATCAGCACTAAACACATGCACATATAAATGGACTGAGTATGTTATATATGTATGTGCGCATGTGTGTATTCAGAGGTCATAAAATTAAGAGGGAGGTGGGGCCATGGGAGGAGTTGAGGTGGAAAGGGGGAGTAGAAATTATGTAAATGCAGTTTAGTTTAGTTGTGTATGAAAATAATTTTTAAAACAGCATATTCTTCACAAACATATAAAAATTCTTAAAATTAATATGAAAGCACAAAAATCCCAAGGATAATCAAAGCAATCCTAAACAAAATGAATACAACTGGAGGTATCATCATACCTACACTAAACTTATATACTATAGAGTTATGAGTCACTTTATACTACTATTAGTGGTGGGTTGTAAATAATAACATGGTGCTGGCACAAAAACAGACACATGATCAATGGAGTAGAATAGAAAGGATAGACTAGAAAAATAAAGAGCTTTGATACAAATCCACACAATTATAGTTAACTCATATTTTAAATAAATCTGCCAAATATATACATTGAAGAAAAGAAAGTATTTTCAACAAATAGTACTTATGAAAACTGGATTTTTTTATTTTATTTGTCTTTATTAAGAAATTTTCTACTCACTCCTCATGCTATCCACAGACACCCCCTCCTCCCTCCTCCCACCCCCCAGCCCTCTTTCCCAAGCCACCCCATATTCCCACAGCCCCCAAATCGAGGTCTCCCATAGAGAGTTAGCTGAGCCCAGCACACTGAGCCTAGGCAGGTCCAAGCCCCTTCCCACTGCACCAAGGCTGTACAAGGTGTCACACCATAGGCACCGGATTCCCAGAAGCCTGCCCATGCACCAGGTACAGATCCTGATCCCCCTGCCTCGGTGCCCCCAAACAGTTCGAGCCAAACAACTGTCTTTTGTGTCCAGAGGGCCTAGTCCAGTCCCATGGGGGCTCCACAGCCACCAGTCCACAGTTCATGGGCTTCCACTAGTGTGGCCAGTCATCCCTGCACATCCTCCGATCATGATCTCGACGTCCCTTACCTGCAGTATCTCTCCTTTCTCTCATCAATTGGATTCATGGAACTCAGCCTGGTGCCTGGCTGTGGATCTCTGTATCTGCCTCCATCTGTCACTGGGCAAAGGCTATGATGACAGCTAGGTTATTTGCTAGGCTGGTCACCAGAGTAGACCGGTCCAGTCATCCTTTGGACCACTGCCAGCAGACCAAGGTGGGGTCAACCTTGTGGATTCCTGAGAGCCTCCCCAGCACCCTGCCTCTTCCTATTCCCATGATGTCCTCATCTATCATATTATCTTCCTCCCTGCCCTCCTACCCTGTTCCTGTTCCAGCTTGACCCTCCCATTTCCCTATGTTCTCATCCCCCATTCCTCACCCTCTGCTACCCCGCCCACACCCAGTCTACTCATGTAGATCTTATCCACTTCTCCTTCACAGGGCCATCCATGTGTCCCTCCTAGAGTCTTTTCCTGTTAGCTAGCCTCTCTGGAGTCATGGGTTGCATTCTGGCCATCCCTTCCCTCCCATTTAGTATCCACTTATGAGTTAGTACATACTATGTTTGTCCTTCGAAGTCTGGGTTACCTCACTCAAGATGATATTTTCTAGATCCATCCATTTGCCTGCAAATTTCATGATATCATTGTTTCTTTACCGCTGAGTAGTACTCTATTATGTATATGTACCATCTTTTCTTTATTCATTCTTCAGGTGAGGGGCATCTAGGTTGTTTCCAGGTTCTTGCTATTACGAATAATGCTGCTATGAACATAGTTGAGCATGTGTCCTTGTGGTAAGGTTGAGCATTCCTTGGCTGTACACCCAAGAGTGGTATAACTGGGTCTTGAGGAAGACTTATTCCCAATTTTCTGAGAAACCGCCATACTGATTTCCAGAGTGGCTGTACAAGTTTGCATTCCCACCAACAGTGGAGGAGTGTTCCCCTTGCTCTGCATCCTCTCCAACATAATCTGTCTTCAGTGAATTTTAATATGTAGGGAATTAAACTAGATCCTTATCTCTCACTCTAAACAGAACTAAACATCAAATTGATCAAGGGACTCAACGTAAGTCATGACACCCTGTAACTGTTATAGGAAAAGAGCCAAGAATATGCTTCAACTTATGAACACATGTCATAGCTTTCTGAAATGGCTCTGTTAGCATAGGAAATAAGACATCAAAACAAATGGGATCCCTTGAAATTAAAATTTTTGGTACAAGAAAATGTACTGTCAAATAAAGAGGCAGCCCACAGAAAGGGAGAAATTATTTTCCAGCTGTATATCCAATTAAGAATTGGTATGAAAATATACAAAGAACTCAAAAAATCTAAACATGAAGAAAACAAATTGTGCAGTTTAAAATGAGTTATGAACCTGAACAGAAAGTTCTCAAATTAAGAAATAAATGTGACTAGCAAACACTTCCAAAGTCCTTCACCATCAAGTAAATGCAAATTAAAACTACATTAAGAATCTATCTAACCTCAGCTAGAATAGTCATCATTAAAAAAACAAATGACAACAAATCCTTTTACAAATGTGGAGAACAGGGAACCCTTATATACTGTTGGTAGCAGTGGAAACTAGTGCAGCCACTCTGGAAATCAGTCTGGATGCTTCTCAGAAAGCTGAAACAGAACGACCATATGACCCTGCTATACCATTCCTGGCCATACAACAAAGGACTCTATATCTGACCAAAGAGGTGCTTGTGCCTCCATAGTCACTGTTGCCTTACTCACAGTAGCCAGGAAATGGAATCAGCCTAAATGGTCATAAACTAATGAATGTATAATGAAAATGTGGTACCTATAAACCAGGGAATATTATTCATCTCTAAACAAAAATGAAATCATCAGATTTTCAGGTAAATTGATGAAACTGGAAAAAATCATTCTGAATTAGGTAATACAGGCCCAGATAGACAAAATCCAAATTCCTTCAATTCTTTAGTTATATGTGCTTATGTTTCAGTGCCTGTAGAATTAAAAGATAAAAAAGTAGAAAGGATCTATTCATGGGTATTAAGAAATAGGATTGTAGCTAGAGTTTTCCTGCCTGACCCACAGTCAGGACAAATCTCTCTCACCTGCCAGTCCCACAGCCGCTCAGACCCAACCAAGTAACACAGAGACTTATATTGCTTACGAACTGTATGGCTGTGGCAGGCTTCTTACTAACTGTTCTTATATCTTAAATTAATCCATTTCTATTAATCTATACCTTGCCATGTGGCTCGTGGCTTACCGGCATCTTCACATGCTGTTTGTCATCGTGGTGGCTGGCAGTGTATCTGACTCA